TACCTTCTCCACTCCTAGACCTCGGCTTGTAACTCTGAATTCTACCTTCTCCACTCCCAGACCTCGGCTTGTTAAAACGGACTTCCCACTCTCCACTCCTAGTTCTCAGCTTGTTGAAACGGACTTCTAATTTCTCCTTCATTGGGTGAAGTAACCCTTCCAGTGCCAGAACTGCCTTTTAGTTAAGTAATACTTTTACCAAACAAGCCAATTTCTATTATTTATGTTACACAGTATCTAAAGCTCACTAAAGTGTCACTTTGTCTAATTATTCCTCTTATTCATAATGGATTGCTACAAAGCCTAATTTTTCCTTCATGTGTATTTAAAGGTACAGTGACCATTGTTTCATATCAATATAAAAGGAGGTGAAACTTATTGTTGCTGCAATCAGGAAATTCTGCAGTTGAGTTCCAATTAAAGAAGTATTACAAAATAAATATTACACAGGGCTAACTTCCTGGTCATCCGAGGTGATGGTTGGAGGAACCAATAGCAAGTCGGCTGGTGCTTGTGAAGCAGCAGCGGGTGGCCCTGCTAGAGTAAGGGCCATGGTGACCGACTCAAGTTTCTCAGTTTCTCCAACCTGGAGTTGACCTTGCTCATGGACGTCATGAGTGAGGATAACATAGAATGTATGTTTCCTGGGTTGGACTGGCTAGGTCCTTCACCAGGATCCATGTTATTTGATGTACGTAGTAGTTTGAAAAGTTCTGCTTTCCTTGCTGTAGCGGGATAGGGGATTTGTCGTCTCCTTAATTCGGTAGTTATACGAGGGATCGTCCAGGATCTGATTGATGCCGGACTATTTACCTCTCCTCCTTGTGTAGAAGTGATAGCTCTAGCCGGAGTGCTAGGCAGGGAGAAATCCTCTACCCGTTCCTGAGGCATACTGTAACCAAAACAATTAATTAGTGTATGAAAACCACACAAAATTGTACTGGCAGGCTAGCTAAGCCGGATGGCGAAACATTACACTTGTTTGGTGACAGGTGAGGCTCTACTAGTTGCCAAGTGGCTTGAGAGGCTCTATCTATGCGTTGGCGCGAGGGGATTTGAGGCCACCCGTCGTAGTGGCAGGAATTTTAGGCCTCTCGGTGACTGTAACATAGAAAACAGGGAGAGGGAGTTACAGGTGAGGCCCTCTCTATGCAACATGCGAGGGGGCTAGCTAACGTGTGGCCCGATGGGTTATTGCCTCTGAAACGTTGAGGCGGGGTGTTGGCATCGCGGGACCACTAACTGATGGCAATGCCAAGAGGGGTAAATACCTATTGGGAAGCCTATGACCCTATTGACAGTACTCTAAAATGAAATGTATGGCAGAATACCATATGAGCAGGTGTACGTACCTGGTAGTATGAATATCGCACAGGAAACCATGTGGTGAAATATCTATTTAAACCTGGACAGCCTGAAAATGGGTAAAAGAGAGTAGTATAGTAAGTGTGGACTGTGTGGGAATGAAGTAGACTGTGTAGCCCCTACCAGTGATGTTTTTTAAGGCTTGATTTGGCGTGTTACTTGGTAAAAGTGTAGTGATATACCATGAGAGTAAAAATGTGTTACTAAGGCATAGTGATGCCGTGTCTTAATTAGAGATGTTGCGAACCGTTCGCGAACGTCCCGCGAACGGCTTGCCGCGGTTCACCACGAACGGCTCCGGTCAGCTGACACATCCCGGCCAATCTCCAGCAGACCCTCCCTCCCAGACCCTCCCACCTCCTGGACAGCATCCATGTTGAAGCTGCCTTCAACATGGATGCTGTCCAGGAGGTGGGACGGTCTGGAAGGGAGGGTCTGCTGGAGATTGGCCGGGATGTGTCAGCTGACCGGAGCTCGCCGCGAGCCGTTCGCGAACGGTTCGCGACATCTCTAGTCTTAATGCACATTTCTGTATAAAACAGTGGGGAATATATGATGGTGTAAAATAGAAAAGAACATGGATGAGGGAGGCCGTGCCTATATTTAACCAGCGTTATAAATGATATGTAATGGAATAACAAAAGGCCAGTGATACACAAAATGCCTTAAAGTGATGTAAAGTTATATATATGTATATGATATATCTGTATTGAAAAAGACATATGATTGGTTGGATCAGTACTTGATTCAACCCGAGAATTTATTGCTTGTAAAAGGAAACTGTATCCTTATATATGTGTTGTAGTTATAACACAGAAATGAGGCCTGTAATGTAGGCTGAGTCCATTTGAATGAATGGATAAGTATGGCAGACCCCTGAAAGCGTGGGAGTCAAAATGATCCATACAGATAAGTGAGCTTGGTATTTGTACGGACATAATACAATACTGATACCTTTAAACAGTAATAGAAATAATCTGTCTATTTAAACCAGCAATTCGTTAACCGAATGTTATATACATGAAATGGTGAATGTAATCCACGAAAGGATTATGCGTAATACATAGAAATAAAACCGAAACCCAATGTGAGAGTAAACAGAAATTGGAACGAATAGTTTAAACGTATGAATTTTATGCGAACCGCAAGCTTGTTTGAGCATAACATGAAAAAAGTGCCGAACGGCAAAACAACCAAAATGATAATCTGTTTCAATGACATAGAATAGTTATATGCAAAATGACTATTTATACGAATATACCGATTAGCCGAATGCCCGTACGAATGAAAACCGTGAACGGCTTGTATAATTTTGTGACATATCAGGGAAAACCGTAAAGCGAGGACCCGTGCTGTACCGTACGCCGTGGGAACCGATCCTGGCATGACAGGTATGTCTGGTTTACGGTTTAGGAGTCCCTGGTACGTGATCTACGACGAAGACCGGGGTCAGAAGAAGCTGGACCAACGGAAAAGGCCTGAACAGGATTCCTGGACACTGCTTGCCGCGGTAAAACCTTGTGGATACTGAAACCAAGATGGCGTCTGAGAGAACCCGGAAGTGGATCCTCATTCAACGCTGACGTCGAACGGTAAGGAGCAAGGTAAGGGGTGTGCCTTAAGTAGGCTAGGAGTGGATACCAAGCACCTCCCACAAATCCAGGCAAATTGCCTTAATACACATTATTTGTTTTGTGTGTATATATATATATATATATATATATATATATATATATACATATACACACACACACACACATACATACACACACACACACATATACATACATACACACAATTTCTGCCAGGGAATGCAAACTTTGAGCACAACTGTATAAATATATATATACACACACACACACACACACAATTTCTGCATGCACCTCCGCCCCCTATTATCCAGGTCTTCAAGGTGCCTGCGCATGTGGAGGATCAGCTCACCCTGTCTGGAGATGGCAGTGTCCGTGGCTGTTTGCCTCGCGGTGTGAGTTTCCACCACGTGTTCCAGGGCCTGTATGCGGCCCGTGTGTGAGCTCACCTCCGTCCTGATCCCCGCCATTTCTGCTCTCAGGGCATCTTGGATCGTGGTGGTGAGGGTAAGCAGGTCGGCTTTTGTGGTCATGGCAGCTGTTATGACCCTCAGCTCCTCACTTATGCGGTCCAGAGTGGAGGCTTCACCTCCCCCCATCGAAGTGGGGGACCGCGGTGACTGCGGCGTTGGGCCCGGGTTCTCATTCCCGCCGGCGGCCCCACGTGGGTGTTGTAGGAAGCCGTCCATCGGTCCCTGTTGGGAGCTCGGGAGTGGGTCCCTGGGGGTCTGTGGGTGTTCCGTGCGGCGACTGCGACCCATGTGTGTGCTGTAGCAGCTGCTGGATCGCTGTTTCGGGGTAAGGTGTAGCGGAGCTCCGGGATTATGCGGCCATCTCGGTCAGTGTCCAGGCCACGCCCCAATATATAAAGAAATTATGACAAGCTGCCAACCACGTGAGTTTCCTCAGAAATCTCATGATCGTAAGGGATTTTGAGCGACCTTTGTTGATGATGTGACAGGTTGCCTGGTTGTCTGAGTAACAACGAACTGGCATGTTTGCCCATAAATGACCCCATGCTACGGCAGCCGCCACAATGGGATAGATCTCAAAGAGAGCTGAGGTAGTGGAAAAACCTTCCAAAACCGGAACTGCTGTAGGCCAGCTGCCCCAAAGCCATTTGTTCCCAAAAATAGCTGCAAAACCTGTGGTAGATGCTGCATCTAACCAAATAGTAGGTGATGAGTCAGTCAATTGAGGGAGGAACATACTTTTACCATTCCAAGTGGTAGTCATAAACGGCTGAACCACCATATTTATTGCCCAGGTCTACCAGCTTGTGCATATAAAGATCAAACTCCTCTCTTCTATTGGGATAGACCGCACAGATAACATCCCGGTAAATACAAAAGGCCAGTACAAACCCGGGGATAGTCAGTTTCCTGTTTAGGCGGGCGTCCCTAGATCTGACAACAACAGACACATCATCATAAGCATAAGTCTTATTTTCCACAATATCCTGGGAGGCAATCAGCAGGGATGCTAGGTTGACGTCTTTACCTTCCAGGATATCTCTTTTTATGTGCTCAGGGATCATATGAGCAGGGCTAACTTCATGGTCATCCGAGGTGATGGTTGGAGGAACCAATAGCAAGTCGGCTGGTGCTTGTGAAGCAGCAGCGGGTGGCCCTGCTAGAGTAAGGGCCATGGTGACCGACTCAAGTTTCTCAGTTTCTCAAACCTGGAGTTGACCTTGCTCATGGACGTCATGAGTGAGGATAACATAGAATGTATGTTTCCTGGGTTGGACTGGCTAGGTCCTTCACCAGGATCCATGTTATTTGATGTACGTAGTAGTTTGAAAAGTTCTGCTTTCCTTGCTGTAGCGGGATAGGGGATTTGTCGTCTCCTTAATTCGGTAGTTATACGAGGGATCGTCCAGGATCTGATTGATGCCGGACTATTTACCTCTCCTCCTTGTGTAGGAGTGATAGCTCTAGCCGGAGTGCTAGGCAGGGAGAAATCCTCTACCCCTTCCTGAGGCATACTGTAACCAAAACAATTAATTAGTGTATGAAAACCACACAAAATTGTACTGGCAGGCTAGCTAAGCCGGATGGCGAAACATTACACTTGTTTGGTGATAGGTGAGGCTCTACTAGTTGCCAAGTGGCTTGAGAGGCTCTATCTATGCGTTGGCGCGAGGGGATTTGAGGCCACCCGTCGTAGTGGCAGGAATTTTAGGCCTCTCGGTGACTGTAGCATAGAAAACAGGGAGAGGGAGTTACAGGTGAGGCCCTCTCTATGCAACATGCGAGGAGGCTAGCTAACGTGTGGCCCGATGGGTTATTGCCTCTGAAACGTTGAGGCGGGGTGTTGGCATCGCGGGACCACTAACTGATGGCAATGCCAAGAGGGGTAAATACCTATTGGGAAGCCTATGACCCTATTGACAGTACTCTAAAATGAAATGTATGGCAGAATACCATATGAGCAGGTGTACGTACCTGGTAGTATGAATATCGCACAGGAAACCATGTGGTAAAATATCTATTTAAACCTGGACAGCCTGAAAATGGGTAAAAGAGAGTAGTATAGTAAGTGTGGACTGTGTGGGAATGAAGTAGACTGTGTAGCCCCTACCAGTGATGTTTTTTAAGGCTTGATTTGGCGTGTTACTTGGTAAAAGTGTAGTGATATACCATGAGAGTAAAAATGTGTTACTAAGGCATAGTGATGCCGTGTCTTAATTAGAGATGTTGCGAACCGTTCGCGAACGTCCCGCGAACGGCTTGCCGCGGTTCACCACGAACGGCTCCGGTCAGCTGACACATCCCGGCCAATCTCCAGCAGACCCTCCCTCCCAGACCCTCCCACCTCCTGGACAGCATCCATGTTGAAGCTGCCTTCAACATGGATGCTGTCCAGGAGGTGGGACGGTCTGGGAGGGAGGGTCTGCTGGAGATTGGCCGGGATGTGTCAGCTGACCGGAGCTCACCGCGAGCCGTTCGCGAACGGTTCGCGACATCTCTAGTCTTAATGCACATTTCTGTATAAAACAGTGGGGAATATATGATGGTGTAAAATAGAAAAGAACATGGATGAGGGAGGCCGTGCCTATATTTAACCAGCGTTATATATGATATGTAATGGAATAACAAAAGGCCAGTGATACACAAAATGCCTTAAAGTGATGTAAAGTTATATATATGTATATGATATATCTGTATTGAAAAAGACATATGATTGGTTGGATCAGTACGTGATTCAACCCGAGAATTTATTGCTTGTAAAAGGAAACTGTATCCTTATATATGTGTTGTAGTTATAACACAGAAATGAGGCCTGTAATGTAGGCTGAGTCCATTTGAATGAATGGATAAGTATGGCAGACCCCTGAAAGCGTGGGAGTCAAAATGATCCATACAGATAAGTGAGCTTGGTATTTGTACGGACATAATACAGTACTGATACCTTTAAACAGTAATAGAAATAATCTGTCTATTTAAACCAGCAATTCGTTAACCGAATGTTATATACATGAAATGGTGAATGTAATCCACGAAAGGATTATGCGTAATACATAGAAATAAAACCGAAACCCAATGTGAGAGTAAACAGAAATTGGAACGAATAGTTTAAACGTATGAATTTTATGCGAACCGCAAGCTTGTTTGAGCATAACATGAAAAAAGTGCCGAACGGCAAAACAACCAAAATGATAATCTGTTTCAATGACATAGAATAGTTATATGCAAAATGACTATTTATACGAATATACCGATTAGCTGAATGCCCGTACGAATGAAAACCGTGACCGGCTTGTATAATTTTGTGACATATCAGGGAAAACCGTAAAGCGAGGACCCGTGCTGTACCGTACGCCGTGGGAACCGATCCTGGCATGACAGGTAGGTCTGATTTACGGTTTAGGAGTCCCTGGTACGTGATCTACGACGAAGACCGGGGTCAGAAGAAGCTGGACCAACGGAAAAGGCCTGAACAGGATTCCTGGACACAGCTTGCCGCGGTAAAACCTTGTGGATACTGAAACCAAGATGGCGTCTGAGAGAACCCGGAAGTGGATCCTCATTCAACGCTGACCTCGAACGGTAAGGAGCAAGGTAAGGGGTGTGCCTTAAGTAGGCTAGGAGTGGATACCAAGCACCTCCCACAAATCCAGGCAAATTGCCTTAATACACATTATTTGTTTTGTGTGTATATATATATATATATATATATATATATATATACATACATATACACACACACACACACATACATACACACACACACACATATACATACATACACACAATTTCTGCCAGGGAATGCAAACTTTGAGCACAACTGTATAAATATATATATATACACACACACACACACACACAATTTCTGCAAGGGTAGGCATTTATTTTGAAAATATGACTGCAAAAAAATCTGTTTTATTAAAGGATAGTGATCATATGAAGCAATTTATTATCACATAGTTGTTTGGCTCCTTTTTAAATTCTAATGATAACATAAATCACCCAATTGGCCCTGATCAAAAGTTTCCAAGCCCTTGAATGCTTGAAAAAGACAGTGTGGTTGTTTCAAGGAGCACAATATGATGATACTTGAACAAAAATGAGCTGCATGGTCGAGTTGCCAGAAAGATGCCTTTACTGCTCCAATTCCACAAAAAAGCCCAGTTACAATATGCCCAACAACACCTTGACATGCCTCACAGCTTCTGTCACACTGTAATTTGAAGTGACCAAAATAGAGCTTTATGGTCACAACCATAAGCGCTATGTTTGGAGAGGGATCAACAATCCTATAGTGAAAAGAATATCATCCCCACTGAGAAGCATGATGGTGGCTCACTGATGTTTTGGGGGGGTGTGAGCTCTAAAGGCACAGGGAATCTTGTGAACATTGATGGCAAGATAAAGCAGCATGTTATCAGAAAATACTGGCAGACAATTTCTTCTGCACGTAGGCTGCGGATGGGACACTCTTGGACTTTACAGCATCACAATGACAAGGCCAAGTTAACCCTCATGTGGTTACAGCATAAAAAAGGTGAAGGTTCTGGAGTGGCCATCACAGTCTCCTGACCTTAATATCATTGAGATCTCAAATGTGTGGTTCATGGAAGACGACCAAAGACTTTGCATGAACAGGAGGCATTTTGCCAAGACGAATGGGCAGCTATATCACCTGCAAGAATTAGGGGCCTCATAGAAAACTATTACAAAAGACTGCACGCTGTCATTGGTGCTAAAGGGGGCAATACACAGTATTAAAGAACTAAGGGTATGCAGACTTTTGAACATGTTTTGTTTTATGATTGTGCCATTCTGTTATATCCTACAGTTGAAAATGAACACCTTAAGAAATAAAAGAAATGTGTTTTGCATGCTCACTGATGTTATCTTTAAAAATTATACATATATTACCAATTCCCCAAGGGTATTCAAACTTTTGAGCACAACTATATATGTATATATATATATATATATATAATATGTCAAAATACCAGAGTATTGCAGTATGCAATTATACCTTTTTTTTATTGGACTAACAAAATATTTCAAAGACAAGCTTTTGAGAGTGTTTCTCTCTTCCTCAGGCCTGAAGTAATACTGATCACTCTGATAGAGTTTAACACTTAAAACAACTAATGTTATAGAAGCAGAGTGAGGGTGGGGGGTGAGTGGGGTTTCCTAAATAGCAGGAGATGTGCCTTAAAGTGAAATGTGCAGAATGGCTGAGAATAGCCAGAAAAGGAAATAAACAGAGGAGAGTCAGTAAGCTAGTCAAAAAAAAAATGAAAAACATTTTTTAAAAATAATTAAAGAAGGGGGGCGGAGCCAGCAGCCGAACCGACAGGTCGCATCTGAAGGGAGTTCCTGGCGATAACGGCCTAAAACGACCAATTAACCTTGGAAATAACACCCCCCAAAGCACCCCAGCTACCCACACAAGTAGCAGTAATGGGCAGGAAGACTAAAAAACCCAAGCCCGATTTGCCCCGGCCGGGCGCTAGCATAGGAGACCTATGGCGGCGGGCACATGGCGCACCAGAGCCTGACATGGCCGCTTACATAGAAGGCCTAGAAGACTCAGACGACCTGCTCTCTGACCCAGACGAGCCCTGCTCACCAGCAAGGTGGCCGCCGGAGAAGCCTAACCCAAAGCAGGCCGCGCAGCCTGACTCAGCTCCGGTCACGAAAGCCGAAATGAGGGAGCTACTGGCGGAACTCCGCCAAAATATTCAGGAGGACGTAGCCGACATGCGGAGAGACATAAAGGGCCTTACGGACCGCGTGGACACTGTGGAGCAGAACTCCCACACGCATACCAGGCAAGTGACCTCCCTCCAGCAGGAGATGAAAATGCTGCAGCAACAGCACTTGAAAGTAGAAGGGGCTATGGCGGCAATGGAAGACTCGCGACGTGCCCAGAACCTTAAGGTCAGAGGCATCGCAGAATCAGTTCCAGACTCTGAACTCCCCCCACCTCATGCGGCGCCTGGTGAGTAAAATACTGCCACCAAAGCAAGCCAAGGGAGTAGGCCTCGACGGCATATTTAGAATCCCTAAACCACCAATGGCCCCATCAGCAGCAACTAGGGATCTAATAGTCAAATTCCAGAAGCGACAGGACAAAGAAGCAGTAATGGCCGCCATTAGGAACACTACTCCGCTCACATTTGAGGACATGACTCTCTCCTTTTACCCGGACTTATCCAGGGGAACCATGGCCTGGCGCTCAACCCTTAGGCCTTTCACCACCCTGCTCCGCGAGCGAGATATCAAATACAGATGGCGCTCACCCCACAAGCTTCAAGTGCTTCAGGGAGACACCACGTACCTCATCGCAGACTTACAAGAGGCGGAGGCCCACCTCCCCACTCTGGGGCTCCCGGCAGACGCCATACGACGACGCCCCACAAACCCTAAACCACACAAATGGAATCCGGTTACCTCCAAACCTTTTGTTCCTGGGGGGTCCACCCACGCCGCACAGACTGTAGCCACCACCTAAGTGCTTCCGAAGGGGATGGCCGAGCCTCACCGGCTATTCACTTGTTGTTTTGGTCTTCTTTTTCGTTAATTTACCTCTCTACGGTTGCGTTACATTTTGTATATAGTTTATGGTCTAACAGTACATTTTAGGGGGACAGGCCTACTTAAGAGGCTCACATTCACCATGGGCGGCACTGAGGCAGCACATTGCCATCAACCACACCTGGCCCAAGACGGGCTGACACAGGGGCTATCTGCGTCCCCGCAGGCCCTGCAACAGGGACACCGCAAGACC